ATACATAAAGGAACAAAAATGATATTAATTTCTAGGAAATGTTTGAAAAACAAATTTTGATTTTCAAACCATATAGATGTTAATTTATATGAATCTTAAGTAATTTAGTTGGTTCCTTTACTTCACTTCAAGAGGCATTAAACGTCTTCTTTACCTGATAATTCACTTCAAGGGTGATTTTAAAGTTTTGGTTTAGACATTTTCATTATTAATCTTGATTGAATTCTAACAAACCCTGACACGAATTTGACACAGTGATGTAATTAATTACTATTTCATTTGTTCCTTTTATGTAATACGTTTTAAAAGAATAAATAAAATGTAATTTTTAAAATAGAAAATGATAGACATGCATATTTGTTAAAAAGATAATGAAAATATTTCCTGCGAAAAGTGATTTATACACTAAATGCATATCGTGACTTGAAAATGAGTGGCAGATATTTTGGATATTTCTTTAGTAAGAAGAAAATAAATGCTCTTTCAATCAGAACAGAACAAATTTTGTGTTCAAAAGTCACAACAAAGGAGTGAGGGAAAATCAGAGGATTTTCTTGTCACGGTTTCAAATGTTACAACAAAGGAGAGAGGGAATACAGAGGATGTTCTGGTCACGGTTTCAAATGTCTCAACAAAGGAGAGAGGGAAAATTATAGGATGTTCTGGTCACGGTTTCAAATGTCACTACAAAGGCAAGAGGGAAAATCAAAGGATGTTCTGGTCATGATTTTATGTCACAACAAAGGAGAGAGGGAAAATCAGAGGATGTTCTTGTCACGGTTTCAAATGTTACAACAAAGGAGAGAGGGAATACAGAGGATGTTCTGGTCACGGTTTCAAATGTCACAACAAAGCAGAGAGGGAAAATCAGAGGATATTCTTGTCACGGTTTATCGACGCATAATCTTCACATTTTGAGATTACATGTCCATTCAAGATATGTAAATAGAGCGCCGAATTTGTGTTTGATGGAGGATCACTCATCCTGTTGGTCGTCAATAAGAAAATAACCATCCATCCCCCGTCTACTTGTTAGATACCTTATTTTTGTTCACCAAAGGGCAACTATCTTATGAAAATTTTACCATTATTGATTAGTCAAGACTGCAGACTTTCATTGTTGATCTTGTTTATCATATTTTTTGGGATAACATAGTTTTGTTTACTACATATTTATAGGAGAAATTGTCTAAGAATGGTTATCTCTCTCGTTATATCAATATAACGGTTATTTTCATAATGAATTTTGTTATTATGAGTATTTAAACTCAGAAACTTTGAAATTTTGTTGATGTTTTTTTTTACCATTACACACATAATATTAAAAATGAACTCACCTATAGAACGTTCTGACTGTAATATCTACTAAAATTTAGTTGTTATACTTTATAACAAACACTAGTCAACTAGTAGATAACGTGTACATTGCATGAAAGTATGACATCCGAAACACCTTAATTATAAAATTCTGGAAACAAAGTGATCCCTCGGAAGCATTAATCACAACAAAATAACATAAGAATTGCAGACTCGGTTAGATTGAGTCTGTACATGAGGGATAATGAATAAGTGCAACATCCCTCACGCCCCCTAGCACCGGCTTGAGCTGTACTCAATTCTCAACACTTTATAGTGTTGGCATCAATGATCCCGAAGGACCAGAAAATATAACAACACTGAAGTGAAGTACGGGGCAACTTTTTACGGCTGCCACACGGCACTTGACACCTGCTGTTGTGAAGTACAAAATTCTGGAAACAAAGTGATCCCTCGGAAGCATTAATCACAACAAAATAACATAAGAATTGCAGACTCGGTTAGATTGAGTCTGTACTAAACTAACTATTTAAGAATGGCAGATGGTGATGGAAAATTAAGACATTCAGCTTAATTACTTTTATCATTTATAAAAAATACATGATTCAGATCCTGCGTAAGAAAATGTGAAACAAATCGAATAATATTGTATAATTTATGCTTGTTAACAGATGAAAATTTAGTTTGTAAGCAATTGAAATAATTCTTCAACATCAAAGTAAAAAATGATCCGGTAAATGTTATTTATATAGACACTATTTTTAGAGAAAAACAACCATGGTTATGTACTGGCACTTACTTACCTACGACTAAAACAATCATTTCAAGAAATAAACTTGAAAATTACCACTTGAGAAATAACCTATTTTCTTAAATATTATACATGTTGGGGAATTTTCTGTCAATTTATTACAACGATTCAGTGATGAAAGAAATCACAAGATACACATTGTAGTCCTAAAATAATAAATGTCATACCACATCAAATCAACAAATTTAAATCAACCATCAAGTACATTACTTCTTTTATTCATTTCATTTCAAACAGGGACACTATTTTTTTTTATCTTTGTTCTAATGTTTTGTCAAACGAAAATGCCTATTGTAAGTCTATTACGCATGAACTAGGTTAATTATTAAGTAAGTTAAAAGATATGATATATTAGGCCAATAAGAAAAATTGGCGATTTACCAAATTTACGAAATAAAAGGTTAAAAAACGGCGTATTTACAACTAATTTCATTTTGAAAACTAACTATTTAAGTGTTCGAAACGCTCAGTAAATGTTTAACGATTTATTTTTAAATGAAATTAAACATCTTTAACAGATATTGCTGCTCCTACGTCACTCCTTTTGAGCTGTTTAAATGGTTTACTTTTTTCTAATTAGTGCTTTACTATTACTTATTCGTTTAAACATAGATTACTTATCGCTACGTAATTAAGAATGAAACAAGATTTACATACATGAAAAACAAATAATCAAAATAAATACCTTTTTTCTTGAGCAACTTGAAAACTTGAACATAAATTGAAATAGAAACTTGGGGATTTCCAACTGTTGATAAAACTACGTACACCTCGATAATCAGCCAATCGTAACATGAATTATCAATATCCGGAGATTGACGTAAAAGGCCGAAAATATGCGATTATGCTCCACATATTAACTTCCATTTATTATACCGTGAAGAAATATTGTGTTTTATAAATGATTTTATAGGCTTTTTTGACAATAAATAGCGTTGTGTAAACTGTTTTAAAATCAAATTAAAATAAAAAAATATGAAACTAATTATGTGCCTTTTTATTATAAAGTAATTAAGCATTTTCATAATAACATGTACAGAAAACTTCCGTTCATATAATATCTCATTTACAATACCGAAATGTTTAAATTATGAAGTTAACTATCATTTTAGAAAATGACTTTGTTTAAACAAATTCAGATTCGTCCGCCAAGCCCGTTATTGGGATAAATGAAGCATTTCCCTGTCATATATACTTTCACTATTCTAAAACATATTGTTTAAAATTCAAATATGTTCCTTCCTCATTGGGCAAACATGTCTATATATTGACCATTATCTTGATTATAATTTTTATAATCACCAGATGCTATAGTTTATATTACACTGGAAAGGTGTAGGTTTATAATTTAATAGGCATGTTCCTTTCTTTTACACAATGTTCCTGACATGTAAATAAAGTTTCATTCCGCTTACAGATGTGTCCTGATATATAGAACAACAGAGCAATCGCGGTCGCTAAAGAATGTTCAAAACAGATTGAGGTCAATATAACTTAATCCAATTCAGCACAAAAACAATCTGAAAAAAATTGGTGATCCCTCAGAGGCAAACAACAATATCAATGGAAATTAAATTCTCAGTATGAATTATGAAAATGCATCACTCCTCACGCACCCCTTACACCGGCTAATTAAGCGGTATTTAATGTTCAACAGTTAATCAATAATCTGGAGGGACGAGAAAAAAAATAACACTATAAAAGTGAACTATGGGGCAACTTTTATAGCTGCCACACTGCACATAACACCTACCGTTATGGTATATGAAAATTTGGAAAACAGATGCTCCCGCCAAAGCAACGAAAACAACAATATTAATTGATAATTACAGACTCTGTTTGATTGGGACTGATCATGAGAGATAATCTAAAGGTATACCATGTTACACGCCCTCTTACACCTAGAAAACTGTCACTGTGTCATATTCAATTTCATTCAAACTCAAATTCTAAATTCACTCACCTAAATTTACATGTGGTTAAAATAGTGACCGGCTTTGACCGTATATGGGCATGTTATACATAGCTTATGGGCCGAGGGAAACACTCGGGTACCTTCAGTAAAGTGTCACTAGGCAATGCTACATGTGAATGAACAACATTATGATCTAGTTAATGGGCTGGTTGAACGATGACGGAACTTCAGCCAGGATTCATAATTATAACTTTCCGAAACAAGTGAGCACAAATATGATTTGATAAACGATTGATTAAAACTTATATATATATATATATATATATATATATATATATATAAGCAAAAAACGCTATTTAAATTTGCCGTAGCTTTCGGCCTTGCGGCCTTCTTCAGCAGCATTTATTTCACATACAAATATATCAAACAAAACAATGGAAGTGACGTAACGTCAATGAACGACGCCCGCCGTGGCGTTGGTTGCCGTCTACCGCGTTATTCTTTTGTATTAACTCCATACGGTCTATAGGTTCTTAATTTTATTTTTCCACAAATTTTCTATTGTTTTTTCTGTATTGGTCATTCCCGTATAGCTTTTCCAGCCCCATTATCGAAAAATCTTTAACTGTGTGGTCATTCGTGTAAAAATGCGCCGCTAACGGATCGTTGTACTTGGTTCGTATTCTGGATAAATTTAGAAGGTGTCTTTGGTACAACGTATCCCCTGTTTCTCCCACATAAAATATAACGTTCGCAACGCTTACAATAAACTGCATACACAACATTTGTAGATTTGCACGTGATCTGATTTCGAACCTTATACGAGGCCCCGTTCACACCAATGAATGTGTCTGCTTCAATAACGTACGGACAAATCGCACACTTTTTGGATCTGCAAGGAGCACAGGAATTCGGCTGTTTGAAAAAATAGTTTATTTGTGTTTCTTATGAACGAGAATGTCTTGTAGATTATTATCTCTTCTAAATGCCGCAATTGGTGGATTCGGGAATATTTCCTTCATTCTATCTGAGGTGTGTAATTCAGGTAGGTGTTTTCGTACTATTTGTCCTACATTCGGGAGCGCTCTGGAAAATGTCAGTACCAAGGGGATTCTTTCAGTGTTTTCTTTATCTTCATTATACTGTAATAGGTCACTTCTTTTCTTACTATCTACTTTATTTAATTCTGTTTCAATATGTCGATCTTCATAGCCTCGTTTCTGTAACTGAGTTTTAATATTTTCTCTATGTTGTTTGTAAGTCGATTCATTAGTACATATTCGCTTAGCACGGAGGGCAAGTCCATATGGTATTGATTTTTTTGTCGATTCCGGATGAGACGAATTTTTATGCAAGTAAATTTATCCAGAATACGATTTTGTCGATTCCGGATGAGACGAATTTTTATACAAGTAAATTTATCCAGAATACGAACCAAGTACAACGATCCGTTAGCGGCGCATTTTTACACGAATGACCACACAGTTAAAGATTTTTCGATAATGGGGCTGGAAAAGCTATACGGGAATGACCAATACAGAAAAACAATAGAAAATTTGTGGAAAAATAAATTAAGAACCTATAGACCGTATGGAGTTAATACAAAAGAATAACGCGGTAGACGGCAACCAACGCCACGGCGGGCGTCGTTCATTGACGTTACGTCACTTCCATTGTTTTGTTTGATATATTTGTATGTGAAATAAATGCTGCTGAAGAAGGCCGCAAGGCCGAAAGCTACGGCAAATTTAAATAGCGTTTTTGCTTATATACGGCAAGTTAGAGATTTTACTTATATATATATATATATAACTATTGTTATTTATATGACCTTTTAGACATTTTCTATTATTTTATGGCAGATGCTGACATCTCATATATAATATTTCTGAAACCTATAATTCACTAGTGAGAATAAAGTATCAAAACAATTGTTCAATTCATATACTTTTATTCATTAATAAACCACGTAACATATCTACATTGTTTCAACATTAAATTACAGACTAGTTCAACAATTATAAGTATCTCATAAACATTTAATTCACACAATAGCCAAAACCCTTTTGTAACTGATATTGGATAAAGAAAAAATACACAATAATAACAAAAATTTATAACTGGTGGCAGCACATCTATTTATTAAAGATGCATTTTATCAACCGATGAGCCAAAATATTTTTAAAAAATTAAACTTTAAATTTGGTTTCTTAGATTTTAAGTAAGGTGTTCAGATACAAGATTCAACAAATAATCTACAAGTAATGTGCCATTAATGACTGATTTTGCAGTATTACTCATCATATTAATACTGCTATTTCTGCATTTTCTGTAATTTCCATGGACTGGAATGTGTAAATTACTTTCTTAACTTCACAATATTATACTTTAAAGGTCAATGGACATCATATTCACGTGCCATTTCTAATATTTGATCATTTAGAGCAAACATAAGTTAGTTTGTTTTTCATTATTTATGTGTTAAATAATCGGTAATTGCCTAAGTATTTCCCTTACAAATAAGTCCGGTATCACACAGATGTAAGAGTAGCTGTGCTATCTCAAACCATAAGTGACATACATGTATCCCTATGTAAAATATTGATACATGTAGTTCAAGATAACAACATTTGTCTGTGTTTTTTTGTAAATATGATTTGCTTTTACATACATTTTATGGATGAACATAATAAAAATCGCTGATTGTGATCCATTTGTAGTTCATCGTTACATATGATAATTTTATATGTTTGAACTACAGACAAAATCACCTTTAAGCTTTGAAAACGATAGTGATGTCGACAACCATGAATTCAAAATAATGCATGTTTAGAAAATGCAAGCGTCTCTTACTTGCTTAAACATGCATCTCACGTAATCAAATATCAAGAGTTTGACAGACCTAGTTACAATTTCCGACGGAACCACAAGTAACATTTGGTTGGAGAATTACCGGAAGTTCAAGTGATCGATTAATCAAGACGATTGAATATCAGCAAAGTGGCAACTCCCTGGATTGACAGAAAGCCTAGTGTAGTAGTGTGATATAAAAACACTTTCCCATGGACTTTAAGCCAAATATACCACACTTGAATTCTTGTTTAATACTGTTTTAAATGGTTATATTAGGAGCTAGCGTTTATGTACATTTTATGTTTGTTTGTTTGTTTGATTGTGTTTTACGTCACATCGACAGTGTATATGTCATATCGCGACGTTCCAACTTTACTGGTGGAGGAAGACGTCATGTGCCCTTCCGTGCCATTATTTCAGGCACGAACGGGCACCTGAGTATAAACCACCGACGTTCCGTAAGCTAATGGATAGTTCCTCACATGAAAGATTCCAAGGGTCCCTGTCGGGATTCGAACCCACAGCGGTGAGGGACAAGTGGTTTGAAGTCAACGACCCTAACCATCGGCACGGGACGCCCCCTACACCTTTATGTACAAAAGCATACCCAAGTTGGTTAAATGGACACTGGTCCGTAGTTTTGTTGTTTTTCTATTCGCATATGAATCTCTTTCAGCAAATATGCAGCACGAATTGAATATAACCGCCGGTTTCCCACATTTTGAACTAAAATTCTAAATAAATATTTCAATAAGGTTTTTGTTTTGAATATTTAGCTTCGTTTATACGGGCAGTTTTTGAAAATTTTTTGAATCTTATACGATTTTTTGATAAGTTTGAAATACTAGAATCAACTCCAGTTTCAATTTAAAAAATGTAATTATTTTATTTGAAAAATATACAACGTTTCGACTCAAAAGTCTTCATCAGGTATACTTTGTTTACAGGAAATGACGTCAACGTCATATGACGTCAAGGACAACAACGTCAAAATGTAATACATAATTTGGCGTATTAATGCTATATGTAGGATCTTTATAAAAGATACAACATTCGTTTTGTGACATTTTTCTCCTCACATGCTGCATGTTAAGACATACCAGAACCTCAGACGGGAAAAATATCACCAAGAATGCTGCATCCGACACAAACATTGTAAATGTAGAGGATAATCAGGAGGAAGATTTCTCTTTTTTTAAAACTTTTAATTTTATAAAATGTACTGACTTTCAGTAAGAATTGATTGTGCTTAATATTAGTGCATGTTCATTCATTCGCAATTTAAACTTTTTGAAAGAGAAATTGCCATATAGCTTATAAAGTATGAAATTTACTTAGATCATCAATTGATGGAGACCATTAAACGTCCAAAATATTAGCTAAGCCACATACAAAAGTTATAATTATGTATACTTTCTCCAAGGTATTCGTTTCGTTGTTAATACATCTTTCATACATAATAGAGACAAATCAATATAATTTCAAACTAGAACCAGAGACGTTAAAGTACGTACAGAACTGACATCGGTTTAAACTGCATTAAATAAAAATGTAAAAATATCTTGCCGTCGGTCCAAAAAACGAAGCATTCTACAGTTTCATTAACCTTTTTAACAGTATTGTTGTAAATCTCGTCAAATATTGTTCATAAATAACGATTTTAAAAGTTAAATCCCACTGTATGTAGTTTTCTATACGCATTTTAACATGCAAATGCAAGACTATAATCAGCTCGTGTATGTGCTACGTCACATTGTTATAGTTGCTATCCGAACACAGCAATATGAGATTTTCTTGTTGCAGACACACTTTAAATTAACCGTTTTTTAGCTTCACGGTGCATTATGCCTGGCGTTCAGAAAAAATAATCATCTCATAAAAAAGATTAAAATTTGTATGAAAACACCTGTAACAATGCAGAAATATACCGTTAAATGAGGACATGTGTGTTGCATTTAATATTGATGTAACGATAATCCGAAGTAGGAGTTTCTCATGCAAACAGAAATTGTACTTCCGATTCCGCAACACTGAGGTTGCAGATATTTATACTTATAAAACTAATTTTGGTTGTCTGCACACTAAAATAAGATCTGGAGTCGATATGAAACCCAATTTATTAGCGAGCTCGACGAGCTGGCCCGAAGGGCCTGCTCGCAAAGCGAGCTTTACGGTAACGCGAGTACCTGCTAAGTGATGGTTTTGAAAACTTTCGTCCAAAGTACCAAATTGGACACATCGCAACCTTTCGAATTTAAAGATAACGGTAAAAACTGAGGAATTCTGACTGAAAACGGATGTGTAGACTGGTCACCCCCGCACGTCTATGGGAACCATAATTGGACAGGGAACCAGAATAACGGAAGCTGTGTATAAAAAATGAAAATCGAAGGCGCCATTTTGTTTGAAATCTGATAAATAAAAACATTTTTTTGTCGAATTTTGTTGTGAAAACTATCTAGAATGAAAGAAAATGGTCTACTAAGAAAATGAATCCGAACACCAATATCTTTTATTCAGTCGTTAACGCTGTACAGACGTTTAAAGTATTGTTTACGTGACGTCACAATAATGTGCGCCAACAGCACGTGCAAAACGAAACAAATCAAGTCAACTCCTCGCAGCGGTTACTTCCCTGATCTGCTACAGTAACAAAGCGTGACGTAACCACTGTGAGGAGTTTGAAATCAAGTACGCTATTTTAAATGTCGCAAACGTTTTAAGTTTTACATTTATTTCACTTAAAATAATCTTTATTTCGCTTTGAAAAATTATAGAGTGAAATAAAAATAAACAAAGTTTTATCTCGTTATTCATTTCACGACAGGGACGGGTCACGGGGCCATATACAACACAGTACGTGTGACGTCACACGCACTCGTCACTGCATTTGAGATTATTTCATACTATTTCACGTAAAAAGTACATCGAGCTCGCTTTGAGGCTTTGCCTTTTTCATATTAATGAAATGTCACTTTTTCTGTTTTTATGAAATTTATTACATGCAGCTTTAAAAATGTTTTTACTGCATATACTCCTAAAAGCGACGGAATTTGGTTTTCTTATGCCTAAAAGTAAATGTAACTTCGCAAAATTACCATGTACCGGCTTTGGCTGTTTTCAGCCAATCAAAATTGACCGAATTATTCAGCCCGAGACTTGTCAATTTTAGCAACAAG